TAAGGTTTGAAAATATTATCTCATTGCAAGTACAGATACCGGACATAAGCAAAGGTAAGAGCAACAACATATTATTTTTTATAGTTGAACAGATTTTATAGGTTCTATGCATTATTTTCATAGTAACAAAATATAAATGTTTTATGTATGCGAACATTGTGGTATATTATATATTTTTTTTTTCCATTTTTTTTTTTTTTTTTTTTTTTTTTTTACAGAAATTCTTGAAGAGTTAGATGTACCTTTAACTGACAAATATGAAAATAGAGAAAATCGTTTCAGTAATGGACCATCTAAATTATCAATTAATGATTTAATAAAACGTGATCTTGAAGTACAATATAACACGTTCCGGGATATTATTAAAAAATCGGTGAAAAATGATGATCTTCCTATACCAGATTTCCTATTAGGAGAACCAGAAGAGTGGAATACTTCTGAACAAAGTAATAGTGAAGACAGCAGTCTTAGTGATAGTGATAAAACTTTGGTAGGAGATACTCAAGAAGATGATGATTTTCCACCATCTTATCACCCACCACTTTCGGATAATAGACGATTTGAAATAGTAAATCAAATAGACATACAAACTTCTGATATTGATGATGAATCTGAATATTACTTTAAGGCTACTTCATGTACAAACAACGCTCGAAAATGTATGTATTTATTATTTTGTTATAATATGTAGTAAATTTTAAATTATTAATTATTTTGTGTTTTAGTACTTAAGGTTTTAGTAGATAAAAGAATGCGATTAAGCACTTTGAAAAAAGATTTGCAGCCTTATGTTGGCGTGCCTGTAGAATATTTCAAAGTTTTCCGACAATCTGGTGATTCTGAATCTGAATGCACTTGTCTGACAGAACAACTTTTTGCTTTTGATGATGGTGAACGACTTAATTTAAAACTAGGAAGAGCTTTGCGTAATGGAGAATATAAAATAAAACTATTTCAATTACATATCGATTCAATTACAGAGGTTTGTAAATATTGTGTATATTTTTACCATTGAAATTTACATTTATAAGAAATATATTTTTATAATATATTTTTTTAACAGCCCTACAAATTTTTATGTGAAACAATTCTTTCTAAAGACATGACATTTGGTCAAGCAAAGAAACAAATTTTAGCAGAAATAAAGAAGAAGTACAATATAGACATACCATATGAAAAATGTAGATTGAGAAAAAAATATTATAATACGGCTTCTAAGGTATTCTTAGATAAACAGAAATTTGATCAACAACTGCTCACACAATTTGAAATGATTGTCCAAGAATTACCAGAGAAAGAAGTTGTTACTGATAACGACAATCAAGTAGTTTTGTTTGTTCGAAGATGGTCTCCTGCCAAAGTACAACTTGGTCAATTTCAAGAGGTTGTATTAGATGAAAAGTTGATAGAAGAATTGAGAAGAAAAGTAATAAAACAAACATAATTATTGAACATAAAGTATGCAGTACAAAATTACAGATTATTAATAATACAACTATTTTTTTCCTTAGATATCTTCTATATCAAATATACCTGAAAAATACATAGATATAGCAAAGGGAAAAGGTACTTTTCCATGTGATATACCTGTATTAAAAGTCCAAACTGACCATCAATGGAATGAACATATTACTGGTAACGAAAATGTATACGATGATTTTGAAGATGGTAGTGTTTTCTTATACAGGTAAGATTTAGGACTTAAATATTTTTATATATTAATAAAATTATGTGTGTATATTTATAAATAAATGAAATTACAAAAATTATAGGGATAGCCGAGAAGAGTTAAAAAAGTTAAGTCCAGATGAAACGAAGGAAATCACTAATAAAGAAACTGCACGTTTCATACAACTTTCATCCTCAACAGGTTATAATCGACGTAGTGAGAAAGCGCTTAAAATATATTTGGATACTAAATGATCCTGTATTAATTGTACATCTACTGAATGGCAGTAGTTAAATGAATACAATAAGGAACATGAAACATTGAGGTGCAAAGTACTTGAAGCACATCAAACAGTGATTATATCACATTTTCAAGAAACCAAATGTTTTATGCTCCAGTAAGTTTTCAATATCTCGAAGCTTCCATCTTCTTAAATATAAATGTTTTCGAATATCTATCAGGTTTTTGGCATCTTTTGGATAATGCTGCCAATTAGTAAGAGATTTTGATTTTCAGTTGTCACTATTTTTTTTCTTTTTTTTTCTTTTTTTTTTCTTTTTTTTTTTTTTTTTTTTTTTTTTTTTTAATTCTGGAATTTGTAGAAGGTATAAAAATTCCTGATTCTCTACATTAATAAATTATTTTCTCATCCGGAAGGTATTATTAAGGATTCTAATCACTAATAAAATTCAATAATATTAAGATGCAATAAGACAAATCATCAGTATTTGACATAAATATATGGACTCAGATTGTCTATTGTATGTCTAATTATAACTTCGATTCATAATATATATTCAACGTACAATATTCTTGTTTGGTAAAATCTCAGCTATATTCTACGATTCAATAAAATCAGAATACTTGTACAGCTATCAAAGAAAAAAATTAACATACCTTACAAAAGTTAGAAACTATTTTCGGTGTCAAAGCACAACATTGAATTACATTATAAAAATATGTCTATTTAATGCAATTGTAATTAACCCTTTTAATACCATTTATGTGTGTGTAAGATTTATTGCATTATTAATTGTGTAATAGTGTTTTCCTCTCTAGTTTGTTTAAATATTATTCTTAAGTTATCATTTATGCCTGCCTGCATTAGATATGTAAAATAGTGTACACTACTAGTAAAATTTTTATCTGATTTTGTTATTTTCAGTTTATATAAATATAACTATATTTAAAAAGAAAAAAATCATGAGATAATGATTTCTGTTATTTATATGTTTCTAACATTGATATATTTGATACATATATACATATAACTCAATAACAAGATAAAAAAAATACATGCTCCATAATAAAATATATTGTAAATAATAACTTTTAAAAATATTTTGTTTAATTGTGGAGCCAATCTGGTACACTTTGTGAATCAATCAATATATGTGAATCTATTAAATTATGAAAATTATTAGAATTAGAAATCTAAAATATACAATCGAAAATAAAGATTTCAAGAATGTGATATTTAATAATAACAAAACAGAGCACATATCACTATATATGTCAATTTCTTCATTGCATTATAAGTATTGAAATTTACATTGTTTCCTATGTTGTAACAATTTTAACTGTTTTGTATGATATTCTACTTAATTACTTACAATATATCATTATGGAAACATGCTTTTAGTACAGGGTTCTTTTGCATTTAACATTTAGCAGCAGTTTCACATTTGGCAATTTGTACGTTATTTCATTGTATACAACATGGTGCTAAAAGGGTTAAATGCAAAGTTGTTATTGTTCCCCTTAATTTTTAATTTCTTTTAATAGTCTCCTTTTCAGGTATCTATTGACTTTGTGCAAATATCATACCAAAAGAAAGAAGTTAATATTCATAAGATAATATATCAATCGAAAATGATTTCAAATCGTGTGATCACTGTTTACTAAAAGATAATTATTTTTAAATCAATCCCAGCTGTTATTTAGTACATAATAACATGCCCGATTTTTATTGTTATTCATGTAACTTTTATTTATTGTATGTTGTGTAAAAAACAAGTTTGGTGTGTGTTAATAAATTACATATATAATGATTACTTTGATTGTATGTGGAACTATTTCATTGGCAGATAAAAAATGGAATTTATAGACAAATGAGAACATTAGGTACATGAGATTAGAATCTTTCCAAGATTATGTTAATTTTTTATAAATGATATTATCTTTACATTAATAATTAGAATTTTTTTTGCACAACAAACAAAAAATTATCAATAAAATGCACCAAGTGGAACAAATATTGTAATTAAATAAAAATGTAAACTATTATGAGTATAAGGCTCCAATTGTAAATTAATTGATTTTTATTACTGTCGGAAAATTGAATGATAGCTATAAACTATTGTCATTGAATGAGAAAAATTTTCTCAGTTTTGCTATGATTTAGTTCTCTGTACAGATATATACAAGCCAATGTGTCAAATAATGCTGTAGATTGGAATAACAATTTGCATTTTTTGCATATAATATAAAAACATTCAGTATATCTTCATTATGACTTAGCATGCATACATGCTAATACATATAACAATTAATTTGATTGCTTATTCTTAGTAATATAAATCATAGAAAATACAAGGAAGTTTGTGCATGTACATACATATGTGCATGCACACGCAATGTGTGAGTGAGAGAGAGAGCGAGTGAGAGAGAGAGAGAGAGAGAGAGAGAGAGAGAGAGAGAGAGAGAGAGAGAGAGAGAGAGAGAGAGAGAGAGAGAGAGTAAAATAGAATATTTTTATCCTTTTTGTGGATAAATTAATTCCGAGATTATAAAATATATTTCGTTTAACATATGTGTATACAGGTTGTCATCTAAACTTTTCAATCAGCTATGATCCAATGTTATGCCTTGTAATATATGTGACAATTATGAACCAAATTATATTTATAATTATGAACAAATGAAAGATTTGAAAATGGAATGGACTTTTTGGTCAGAAATAGATTGCTGTACGAGATTTCATCTATCATTATAGTGTGATGCTTTTCTTATTTTTGTGTTGCTGTGTTGACATCATTAATCACTGTTATTGTTTTATTAAATACAAATAAATTTGTTCCTTGTATTTGAAATATGTAGATAAAGATAACAGATTATATAAGTTTTTATAAAGCGTTCTATATGGAAAATAGCTTTGTTTCCAGATAAGTGAAAGTAGTTTTATGAAGACATATGTTTTTGCATGTTAATTTTTGTAACTTTGAAATTAATTATTATTAGAGAACAAATATGTGTATAGTTTCCTGAATGCATAATGTATTTATAAGAAAAAGAAACAAATTAAAAATTTTGAAAGTATGAAGTATGTCGATATTAACATACATCGATATTAACATTTTTTATAATTGAAGTCTTTATATATCAATACTGAAATTGAAATACGTTATTTGAATGCACGTGTCTTCCTACGAGTAATATGTAATTAATAGTTAATTTTATTCGCAAATAGTTTATGACGTCTTTCCAAAAAACTATTAGGTATTTACTAATTACAGCGAACAGCAGTTGGTAGCACTGATTGCAATTTACTGTTTTGTGTCTGCTAAAGAGTATCGTCACAATTTAAATTGTGACAGTCGTAATCAATAATATTACATGCAAAACATGGTGTATTTGCATTTTCCGTCAAATTTAACCGAAGAAGAGTTAATGTTGCAGGCTAAATATAATAAATTAAAAAGAAAGGTATATTTCAACTTCCATTAACTATGATTTGAATTGAGGTTATGTTAGCAACGGTTACATATTTTTACACTTTTAAATATGTACAAAATATAGTTTTATTTACAGTGTTATTAATAAAGTATTGTCTTCATGTAATCACTACATTATTGCAACAGCATTATGATGTATGATATTGTTGTATTAATACAAAATTATTGAATTTGGAAAACTTTCTATATATATAAATTAAATATTTTATTATTAATATTAGCTGTTTGTTTTCAAGAAAAAAGCATTACAGGATTTGAAAGCTCCTAAACAAGAAGCAGAACGTGTGCCACAAGTACCAAAACGTCCAACAGAAGCAAGAGATGCTCGAGAAGTTGCAAAAAAATTGATAAAGTCTGGCGTTATTACAGCACCAAAGACACCTAAGAGACCAGAACAATCATTTAAAAGGCCTCGTGGATTAGAAAGAAAACTAAATAGTACAGAGAAAACAATAAGTTCCTATCAACCATTCTCAGCAGCTCAACTGGAAGAAGAAGAAAGTGAAGCAGTAAGGCCAAGAGTTAAAGATTTATATGATAGTTTTGTTAGTGCTCAAGATGCAGAAGATAGAACTGTAGTAGATAAACAAACACCAATTAAACAAGAATTAAAACCAAGGGCTGGTAATACAATTTTTGTTTGTGGTTATAAAATATCTGAAGATTTCCTAAAAAAACATTTTCAAACATTTGGCAATGTAATTAATATATCAATGGAGGCAGAAAAAAAGTGAGTATTAGAATAATAATAATTACAATTTGTCATTGGTATTTTTGAATATATTTTATATTATAAAGCTTCTTTATATTGAAAATCTTTTATAAAAAAGAAATATGTGCACACATACACACATACATATATGCATGGACTAATAATATTATAATAATTTATTTTTTAAGTCGAGGATTTGTGACATTCGACAAACCTGATGCAGCTGAGAGAGCGATAAGTGAGATGGATGGCAGCATGGTTTCTTCTATTCAGTTAAAGGTTTCATTGGCAAGAAGACAACCAATAATAGAACATATAAATGACGCTTCTTCTAGTTCAATGTGGACGCCAATAGCAGCTAATTATTCTCAAAAGAGTGTACATAAGGATAGACGCGAGTTAAAAGTTTACGAGGAAGATCTTTTTCAGTAAAATGAAATATAGTGGTTTAATTTTTAATCTTGTAAATATTCAAGTTCTTGTATATTTATTGTTAAGAATGTTAAGAATATTTGATTAGATATATTTATACTATTATTAAATAGCATAAGACAGAAATGAAAAAATAAGAATTACTTTTTTGTAGTAATTTGAAGTCTAACATATACATATTTAATTTATAAAAAATTATTAATATTTTATGACACAAAAAGATATATTAGTTTCAATATATTGTGAAATAATATTTGTTTCCAAAGAGAATGAAAAAACAAAAAATAACAGTCGAAACATTGTGTTGCACAATTTTTTTTTATATTTTATATTTTTCTAAGGATAACTACAAGTATTGAAAAGATCGATAGATCTCTCATTGCGGTAAATTTTATAATTAAGCCGTATTAATTTAGATTCAATAGTACATTTAATGTTGTCCTTTTGTAAGACTTAGTAATCGTATAAAGCTATCATTATCAGTATGATAATTATTGTAGCTGTCGTCGTTGTTTTCGTCATTATAATGTCATTATTAATATATAAAATAAACTTACTTAAAGAATAGATCGAATTAAGATTGTTGTTCACATACGTGCAAAATCGCAAACGCATTATCTTACAAAAAGAATTATTACCATTATGATAGTTTTGTCAATCGCCTTATTGCGGAGGATTGAAATAATCCCAATGATGGTAATGCATTATCGTTCGAGAATTACTGAAGTATACTATCAATAAAATTACGATCACAAGTAATAAGGCACATAATGCCAATTCAAGTTCTCTAATCTTTTCCGTTGCTTCTTCGGCACCCACTCTAGAGATTAAATGTGATGCAAAATCTCTAATAAGTTTAGCTCCTGCGATTCGTATTGCTCGAAGAAGTTGTTTCGACGATTCGAGAATGCTTGGTTCGGGTTCTACCCGGGTGGACGGGGATGTGGTCAAAGAAAAAAATTCCGCTGGGATCTGTGAAGTTGGAAAAGCGATAAAGTGTGCGGCACCACTTGGCAAATTGGATGTAATTGGCAATTGTGAAGTTTCTCTTGCGGCTTCCTGCCTATCAGATTTCTCTCCTTCCTCGGAATAAGAAATAACGGCACGTTGTGCTAGAGCTACATTCGAAACGTTATAAGGTGTACTAACATCAGGTGTATCTGGAGTTACAGAAATAACCGGTGGCAATGATCGAACTGGGGAAGCTGTTTGACGTACCGGCCGAATTCGTTCCGTTGGCGAGGGCGATCGTGATCTAGATTCTCGGCTAATCTCGTTTGTTTCTTCTTTACTTTGAAATTGTTTATTTTGGAAATCACGTATGTCTATTTCTGGCCTACGCTCTGACATTATATCGAACTCTGCCATTAAACTCAATTTTGTATCAGAATGAGGCTCTTGATGAATCTCCGTTGATTGTTTCGTTTCATCAATTTCGAAGATTTCTGAACGTTTCATCGATATTGGATCAACAGTTTCTAACGTATCATCTTGCATACTTTCGACGAATGATAACGTATGCGATGCGGATTCCACCTCTGTATTTTCGATTTCCCTATCCTTAGTTTCTTCGGAACCTTTGTTGTCGTTTAAGCTAGATTTGATTTTAACCGATTGATCTCTAACCGAATCCTTTTCTTCGTAACTTTTGATTTTCCTTGGATCGTCTCTATCCGTTTCTACCACATCTACCTTAGTACTGTCTTTCACAGTAGATTCTGTGTCACTTTCCCGATCGAGCAAGCGTCTCTCTTCTCGTGCCTGTTGAGAGCTTGCCACACTTTCCAAATGACTTCTAATAGCTATCAATTCTTTGATAATTGAAGGAGAGAAAGAGTCTTCTTTAGGATCTCTCAAATTTTTCAACTCGCTTACGGATATTACTATAGCGTCTATCTCCGAAGCTAGCAACTTATTTGTTTCTAATTGCGACACGCTGAGTCGATCGACTTTCAGATCACCAACTTCGAGATTGCTTATTCTAAGAGTTTCATCCGTAAGCAAGGTGGAACGTATGATAGAGTGTAGATGAGACTGATCCATTGCAGTTGCATCAGGAATCGTTGGTGGTGGCTCACCAGCGAATTGTGTTTGAGTTGGCGAATGCCTTTCTTGAAGTCTTCTCTCATAATCTATGAAAGGAGAAGGTTCTCTTGAAGATCTAGGCGTATCCAAGTGTTGATATTTCTCATCATCGTTTTGCAAGAATTCAGACGTCGGTAATGTTGGGAAGAGATTAGGACTAGGTATTCGTTCGGTAGATACCATAACTTGTGAACCGGATCGCGATGGAGTAACGATTAATTTAGCTTGTGTAATTTCTTCTTCTATGATCATGTCATCCGGTAGAGGATCAGTTTGTGTAGCAGTTGTCGCTTCATTAATGAGTTCCGATAGAGATTCATCGAAACGATCTTGACTGTGTTCCTTTCGTGCTCTAGGTGGTCTAGGAGGTGCTGGTAACGGTCGTCCTTGGATCTTACTGAGGACTCGATCATCTCGTAATTCTTTGCGATCTTCCGAATCTATTTCGATGTACGGCATTGATTCTGCTTGTTGTTGTTCCAGTACTCTTTCCTCTGTCGAGAAATCGTCTCTTATTTTCGTCGTCGAAGTAAGTGTACTGTATGTACGTTGTGGTCGTTTTGGAGGACTTGGTCTTGGCGTTGTCGCAAATTTCTCACGAATCTTTCGTCTACGAGGTGGTGGTGGTCTTGGTGGTTTCTCACGTTTATCAACCAATGCGTATCCCGACAAATCTCTCGTAGAATCCATAGTTGTTTCGTCTAATGGTATATCCTCTTGAATGTAACCAACCTCTGGTAAAGATTCAGCCCCATGAGATGTACGATCTTCATCCTGAGCCAGTGATATCGTCCTTGATCGTGAACGTCTCTTTGGCGGGACAGGGACTGGTGTTTGAGCAAGTTGATCTTCTGACAACATTTTATCTTCTTGTGCGTCAAGGATTATGTCGTTCATCGCTGGAGATCGTACTAGTTCCGTCATTCGAGACGACGAAAATAAACTCTCCTCCCATTTGTCACTACGACCATTGCATATCGTCGTAGGGAAGAGTTCGTTTGTTTCACTCTGAATTTTTGCCCCACGAGCTCGTTTTCGACGGGTAGGTACAACTGGAGGTGGACGCGGCACGTCGCCATTTTGAAAAATACTTCCCAAGACATCAGACTCGATGGGAACCTGAGATTGACTGTGAAGAGACGATCTCGATTTTCTTCGTGGTGGTTTCACTATAACTATGTCGTCCAAAGGTTCATTTGTTGACTTTGACAGCTCACGAGGATCATACTCAGTTTGATAAACAACGCGATGTCTCGAACTACTGTCGGATCGTTCCTCGTAAAAGACATCGTCAGAGATGTCCTCGCTGGTTCGAGCAACCATACGTTCTCTTTTTGTCCTAGCTGGTGGTATAACAACGTCGTAAGATTCAACGAAATCTTCTTTTCTTTTACATAACGATCTCCTTGCTGGTCTTTTTGGAGGCATTGATGTTGGCATGATGACGTCATCAGCTAAAGCGTTTACCGGTTGAAAATATTTGTCGAAATCGGCCATATTATCCCGTGGGTAATATTCTTCGGAACCGGTATCTTCGACGATTCCACGACGACGACGGTCGCATGAGCTGCCACTCGATTGTTGTTGTTCTCTGTCCGAGTGAGCTGATGAGAGATCCCGGTCTTCTAATTCCTCTAATTCCTCTTCCAATTCTTCCTCTTCATATTCCTCTTCCTCTATTTCTTCTTCTCCTCTTTCCTTTACTCTTTCTTCTTTTGAGAGCATTTGAATTTGTTCAAATTGTCTTGGATCCACGGCTGAGAAAGAGGAACCAATATCAAAAGGGGTTGTTGGATCAGCTAACGATCGTGAACGTCGTATCGGCTTGAAAATTTCTTCCTCAACTATTACCTCTTCATCGGATGGTCTCCAATCCGACTCTCCGAGCTGACCATTTTCATTTCTTGTCTCTTTTTCACTAATCTCTCTTCCTTCTGAGATCTCAGCCGAGTCCGGATCGTAATCCATATATTGCATTTCTTCATCCTCTTCCATAGTTTCACCTACACCTTTTTTTTGAGATTTTTCCCAAGAAATACGAGCGGCTAATGTATCTTTCTCTTCCAATCTCACAGATAGTCGAGGTTCTTCGAATGAAGGATGACGCCATGGATATATCCTTTCGGCAGCACTGACATTTTCATCTTGATCAAGCTCGCCGAAAGTAGGCTCACCAAATCGACGTGCCCAACTTGCTGTTGTTGAGGGATAAGTTTTGCGAGTTCGAGGGAATGTTGCACTTTCTTGAGACTGCGCTCGTGAATCCTTCGGCGAAGACGTTGCCGCGTAATCGTCCGTACGTGTTTTGGATTTCTTCTCAAATATACGTGGATATGTTGAGAAGTCGAAGATGTTGCGACGCGAGCTGCCGATTGTCGAATTTGTAGAACGTTGTTCTCTTACCAATGTTGGTTTTTTCGTTCTCTTCAATGCGCTTGGTAAACTTATATTCGGACGTTTCATATTGAATTTTGCTTTCTCTGGCAAACGAAATTTTGGTCTTTCCGGTAGACGAATCTTCGATCGGTCCGGCAAACTGAATTTTGGTCGTTCTGGCAGACTGAAACGATGTCCTTGTTCTGCAAATGATGTCCTTATCCTGTCCATTCTGCTAGGTCTCTTCTTTTCTGTTCTCGATTTATCCGACTTTCCGCTACTCGTCGATCTTGTCTTTTCGGCTTTTTGTCGTTTTGCGAAGGAGAAATTAGGTCGTTGAATACCCCGTAATCGTGAGCTCAATTTATCTGCCTGACTTTTCAACCGTTGTGGCAAAGTTCTTGCATCACGGCGTAGGGGCAACTCCTCCAACACCGATGAGTCCATCTGAAAAAGTAGAATTTCCTTTTTTTATTCGTATATGTATATGTACACTGTCTTTTATCAAAAGAATGTATTTTGCCGAACTTTGATGTTCGAAATATTGAACAAATCATTACAGACATGAAAAATCACATAAATATTGTTAGATTATCGTATACAAATGTCAAGTAGTCGTGGGCTTGATATATAAAGAACTTACGGAATAAATCATTGCTCATCCTGTTATATTTGTATACATTTTGCTAACTAAAAAATCTTACTTCTTGGAATGTCTTTATATAATCACATTTACGTATAACAGAAATGACATCAGATAGATAGATAAATTTGGCAGATTCCTCTGGTATCTGTCTGCATAATATCGATATATCCGTAATGATTATTCGAATCAATGAGAAAAGCCAAAAGATTTTTTTCGTTCGATGAAGATCACCTCAACCAAATTACATAATATTTTGCTACGAATTGTTTATTTTTTGTCTAAATATAATCACGTTTACAAGATGGTTGAAATAGAAAAAAAAAATCAATGGAAAAATAGAAAATGTAAGAAAATGTGAATATCACCACCTGACTGGGGTTGACTTCGCCATCGGTCCTAGACTCGGCGCTAGGAGTTGTCGGGGTAATAGTTGGGGTAGGGGCAGAAGGGCTAGGGCTGCTCAAGTATCGTTCCTCCAATCGGTCCTGAAGCTGTTGTGGACTGTCTTGTTCCTCGGATGTATCACCCACAGTTTCACCAAGCTCTTGTCCTTCCATAGCGACATCTTCGATTCTACCATCCAATGGTAGAATGACATCGCCGCCTAGGATCATCCTTGATGGCAAAAGACCTCTTTCGTCAATGCTATCATCGCTGTCCGCGACGGGCACCACATCCGTATCGATGATTTGTACAACTGGTGCCGTTACCGGATGTGACAATGGTGCAGCGATTGGTTCATATTCATGCTCACTATTGATAAGAAAATTCAATTAGATATTAAAAAGAATACAATAGAACAATTTTATAAAATTAGTTTAAATTAGACGATCGAAGACGTGTTAGGAATCAGCATGTGAATTCAATCGAAGTATAGCATCGGATCAATCTTACCGATCACGTTGCCCATTTTTCTGTAGATCGTCATGAAATCGAATTCCCCTTCTCCTCATTGGCAACATCTATATATCTTTTGGTCGATCGTTCGATTAGAGAGTTGTCCTCGTGGGCACGCGTCTCATAAAGCACGTCCCGCAAGGCGCCTTGCGATCTAGGCGCGATCTAGTTGCGCGCTACGAGTCTACGCGCGCGTAGACTGATGACTGGACCGTAGCGAAACCGGGAGCTGATCGTGGATTCTATCTATAGCCAGCTGGGCGAACCTTAAATAGCCGCGGGAATTTGCAACGCTCTCGAATGCCGTAACCTATACCAGCACACGGCACTAGCAAGAATCTCGCGAGTTGATCGCGTTTATTGGTGGTAGTGGCGATGGTGGGTAGTGATGGTGGTGGATACAGGGGACAGAATAGATTCGAAAAATTGGCAATTTTTTTAATAGACTACTGACCTGCATGGGACCCTAGGAGGTTCCTGCATCGCTGTCCTGGAAGATGGTCTGGCAATGCGGGCTTGACGTTCCGGTAGTAGCGAATCACTTTGATAGTATTGACATCCACAACGAACCTCACGTCCGAGGCTGGACGTTGATGATGCTCGCGAGGTGCGTCCTCGTTGTTGCTCTCCTTCCATCCCCACCTCGAGAGAGGCGTCGACGTCAACGCCGACGCCGAAAACCAATGAACCTACTCCAGCCTTTTCCTTCTCTCTCTCCCTTTTTATTTTGTTGAATATCGGCAAAGACGAAAGAGTCGTAATCTATTCGCGTAGAGACACGACACTTCGTGTTTTTTTGTTTTTGCGATCCTAAACCTTTTCCCTCCTTTCTCCTCTCTTGCAGCCTCCCGTGAATTTCGAGGTCGCTCTTTCGAGGGCGTGCTTACGACATCACCGCCATCACATTCACAAGCATCACCACCCACCACCGCTACGATCTTCACCCTCTTCTCTGGAAGAGAGGAGAAAAGAGGAAAAGAGAGAGAGAGAGAGAGAGAGAGAGAAGAGAAAAACCAGTGCAAGAGCAGCAGCCCGCCGCAACGCCAACTCGATGACTCTCTGTACTCTCGAATTTCTACTACACGGACGTAACCGAGAGACCAAAGCTGACATCGAATTATTTATAGAATCTTTCTATAACGTTTCAACGCAAGATCGTACTTTTAGATATAAGACAACGCTTACCTGTTTGTAAATATGCATGCCACCTGATGATGATACAATTAAACGATTTCAATTTCTCGCTCTTACTCTCGACATGAACCAATCAACATTTTTATGGTGTATGTCTCCTTTCGAGACTATCGTTTATAGGGTATTTCGTTTTTCCCGCGTAAATTCAAACGTTCGATAAGTAGTAACGTCTTATTTAAGCGCGACATTGAGCCTCGCGCAATTTTATCATTGCAGCTATTGCGACTATTGAGAGTCTACTTGTTTGATTGATCTTTTTTTGTATACTTTGAAATCCCAGCGACCTTTCACCATAGCAATTTAATGCATTGGCTTTTGCAATGAAGAAAATCTAATTGGAACAAATAAAGTTGTCATACTGAGAAGAGCTGTTAGTTTCTATATAGAAACTAAAAATAGTAAGCCGTGACGGCTACCATCTGGGAATGGCATCTCGACTTCGTTATTTGTTGTCGACTTCAATATTTGTTGTTATTTCTCGTTGTCACTGTGAAAATATATTTTATTTATATAATAGGATTAGTTTTAAAAGTGAAATACTATACGATTACTCAAAGGCTAAATTTTAAGGAATATTCATACGAAACGTTCATGTTAAGATTTAACGAATGGATGTCCACCAAAAGTACATGATGAGTTAGTTCGATTCAATAAATGTATCTTCGTAGCTTACGCTTGCTCCACTTTTTGTATATAAATAACCGGAGTTGGAGACGCATTCGCAGATGTTTGGCTAATCGTAAGAATACGTGTGGGTGAAACATATTTTTTATTACAAAAGATCGAAGTTTTTCTTTTTATCTTGTAAGCCTTGATATTCGAGCAACAAATATTAAAATATTGTTCTTGATACATATATATTCATAGAATCGTAGCGAGCTCTTAAAATTTGACTCAGAGTTCAAGAATAATCTTTTATTTTTAATACGAAGACGAACGTAACTCTCGATCATTTGTTTTCGGTGTGTACTCGATAAGAGAAGAAAATAAACTTCTCGCCGAGGGAATAAAAGAAGTTTTTTTCAAGGCGTAGTAATGTGGAGTACGTAATGCGTAATACACTATTACTGCCAAGACGCGGTTTAATGAGGTCTCAATGCAACGATTTTATTGTTGTAATTGTAATTACAGTAATCGTAATCGTAATCGTAATCGTAATCGTGTTGGTAAGATGACGGTAAGAACGACGTGTCGTCGGGCGGCGGGCAAGGAAAATGCCTGGGTCAGGCGAGTTCGTTGCCGTCCGGAAAATGTTCGCGGGCATCCAGGCAAGCAGCCAGCTCAAAAACCAGATGTCGGAGAGTACGATTCTCAAGAAATTCGGCGTCCGATAAAGGCGGATAACAGCGAGGTCTTTGTTGACGTCCTCTAAACGACCGATGGAGATGGAGGACCACGTCGCAGAAGACGTAACGTACCAGAAGTAGCCGCAGAAAATCGTCACCGAAGAACTGCAGCACGCCGGTCTCTGCGATTTGATAAAAGTATAATAAAAATAAGAAGAATCTAATGACAATAACAAAGTAGTGAGTATCGTTTGGCGATAAGTATTGCTGGATTGAAGCCAAACAATGGCTTTAGTAATCGCTCTAACGCGATCGTAAAACGCGATTAAAAAAGAAATGAAAAGAGAAGAAGAAGCCGAAGATGAAAATACTATACCACATCGGGAGTGCGTTACGAGCTGGCTGGCCTCGACGAGGAATCGCTCGATGTAACGCTGGCAACGCTCCCAATGATGCACATCGAGGCTCCCGACGTTGCATATAAGGCAAAAGGCGGCAAGAGGGGCATGAAGAAAGAGGGTAAACAGGCTACCGCTGTGCCGTACGTCGCGCAAAGTTGACGGCGTGTCCTGGGGCGACATCAGGACCATCAGAGGCTGCCCGAAGTAACGGGGTATCTGTTGGAACACAAAGCTGTTGTCCGAATCGACGACGACGAATAGCGGCTTCCTGGTGAACGGGTAGAGGTCACCGGGATAAAGGCAGTGCGGCTCTTTACCACCCGTCGGCCTCTTTCCGTGTTCGACTTCCCGCTTGCTGCACGTCGACACGCCACCTAGGTCGTACCCCACTGTAACAGATCGTAATTTTGATCAACATCGTGCCATTCCGCCTTTGCGCCTCGCCGATCGTTCAACACCCTCGACAATATCTCTCATCCTTTCATTCATTTTTTTAGAAATCTTTTCTTCATTTCTTTTTATATTTTAGGAAATATATCTTTATTTGTATACATATCTTGTTATTATTTTTAAATGACGTATATTTAATCGATGATAAATGGAAACTGTTAATCAAAGTAATTTTTTGTTTTCAATTAGATAAGATTTAAAATATTAACTCTTACAAGCAGAAGCAGAAATGGAATACCAACGGATTCCCAATACTTCGATATCGATTGCTTCGTGCCTCGAATTCACTATTATGAATACGTGGGAATCTTCATCGCCGTATGACCCTGACACAAATACCTTATTCTACTTTCGTTCAGGCTTTTTTCGCGTTCCAACTATAAGCACGGCTAATCCAGCTGCTTTTGCGCGAGCCAAAGTACGTTTTCCTTAGACGGTCGGACCGACGGACGGACGGACTCGTCATTTTAATTTTTCACCGCAAAGAGCTTTTTCTCCGACCAAAGTCAACATATTTTATATATTTGACAGGGTATAACATAAGTAAAAAAAAAATAAAGAAAAGCAAACTACCTAAGGAGTATTTGGAATAGGTCTATTCCGTGAGGTAGGCTTTAGTAAAAAGAAAATTGTCGTGTATCTTTCGATGCGAGGTCACGACTTATTAGGAAACCATCTAAATGACCTGGATTTATTATTTCGTTAATCCAGCAGACAGCACGATAAGAGGTCACGGTCGCACGTGCAGCATGTATCTCGCGAAGTAGGCAGAGTCCTTGAGATGTCTTCTTCCGATCTGTATGATACTTTCGCGAGAATATACGCTAATTAAAGGCGGAGTACTGTGGCGCTCGTCAGCGCGATCGAGAAACGACAGTATAATGAGTTCCCTCGCGTACTAGCCGAAATGCGAAAATGTTTGGCAGGGACGTCGGAAAATTGGCTGCTTATTAAGAACACGGTCGCTACTTTTCCAAGTGTCGGCTACATTTAGAAAGCAACAAAAAGAGATAGAGAGATTTTAGTAAAGCGACAAAGCGATTTGGCTCGGTTTTATCATCTCTGTTCTTTCTCTTTCTCTCTCTCTCTTTCTTTCTTTCTTTTGCGTTGAAAGCTTGGCCACTTGGCGCCAGCGTTGGTACATTCACGATATCGTTGCGAAGCCTTTGGATGAAAAAGGCGATAAGCGAGTTCTCTGATCCGATTGACATGTTCTAAACGAACACGTGGTATCATGGTAGAGTAGTAACGAGGAGGAACGATGACGTGCCAAAAAAAGAAAAAATGTTCAGAAAGTATAAAGAGATTATAGCCGAAGTAAAGACTCACTTTCTTCGGGGTGTTTGACGGTCGAGAAGCAGCCGTCGGCCGATAGATAGAGTAGTAACGCCCCGTTGGCGGGTAACTCCTTGAAACCACTCGCTAGGAACACCTGTACCTGACTGTAGGTCGGCTTGTAAAGCAGGTACTTGTGTGGATTGTCGCGCCTTGGCGCGCCATTTTCTGCACCGGGATATGGTCCCGGTCTAAAGGGCATCCTACCAGCCGGCGAAGCGTCGTGAAGATGATTAGGATCGTCTCTTGGTTCTCTTTCGAGGGTCTGCAGCATCCTGAACATGTCCATCGATAATTCACTGAACTTCACCTGATCGGCGCAGTTGCCGACAATGAGGATCTCCTGTAAGGATAGGCACATGGGTGGCGAGCGTTCGACAGGTGGCGAAGTCTGTGGCCGAAGCCTATGACTCAGCACGACCGGATCCGAGTCCGAGTGTAGGATCACAGCGGACTCGGCTTTCACGAAGGCTTTTATTTCGTCGAGCACGAGGTTCCACTCGAGTTGATCGTCCGGTTCATAGGTGCTTGTGTAATCGGCTATTTGGGCGTCCAGCTCTTGCACGAGTTCGCGTACCAGCTTCATTCGATTTAAGAGTAGACAGACGACGATGAAGCGAGCATAATACCTTAGCTTTTTCACCATTAGATCGCTTCTGTCCTCTTTCGCGGCACGACTGTAATAAGCGCGACCTCTTATTGCCGCGTAAAACGAATAGGCCTCGTGCAGATAACTCGTTTCGCTGGTGCGCAAGTAATAGTGGTAATAGAGCTGACCGATCTTGCTTGCGATCTCGCCGATTTGCCATCTCTTTAGTCCGTATTTCGTGTCCAGTATCGTCCTAGAAAAAGAAAAAAGAAAACGACATGTTCGCGTCCTCTTTTAATATTTCTATGATTTGCTTTAACGTTGTCTTTTATCACCTCTACATTTATATATCATCTCTCTTGATCTCACATATCCATTTTTTTCTTAGTGATCGAAATATTTCGTAAATGATAAGCGAACTATTTCTATTTTAGACACGCGTCCCTTTTCTCTCTTTCTTTCTCTCTTCTCTCTTCTCTCTCTCTCTTTCTCTCTCTCTCTTTCTCTCTCGCTCTCTCTCTCTCTCTCTCTCTCTCTCTGTCTGTCTATCGATCGCGACACGATCTTCGCGAGTACCTTTGATTGCCAGAATATAATGTTAGAAATATCAAAGGTACCCGATCGACCCTGTACTCACGAAAATACATGCACCGACACGCTTTGATACAACACGAAGCTGTGAGGAAAAGAATGATCACATTGAACAAAAAATTAAAAAAATAAAAAGTAAAGTCTAAAAATGTTTCCGTAGGGGAAACAGCTGCCAATGTTGATCCACGAGTATCTCTATTCACATGGCATTGTTTCATTATTCTGCAAGATCTTCTGTTATCGTCACAATATCATAGACTTTAAAAAACTTTTAACGAGAAATGTTTCCCTTATCTTGTTATGAAAATTTTATGACACTAGTCTGAATAGTCTCGCGATCTTTGATTACTAATTTAAGGAAACAAAATTAGAAAAGCGTTGATGAAAGATCGATCACGTGGCAACTTGTGTAGCTATATGAGTCGATATAGGATACACTTAAGACACTATTAGATTCATAATGAAAAGGAAGGTTTTAGAGAGATACGTAAGCAACACGTTTCATTTCTAAGAAACACTCTACAACGAATAGTTACATAGGGTATTGAAGCGATTGAAAAAATGAAGGAAAGAAGGAAGAAAAAAAAAGAAAGGAAGAAATGGAGAAAGAAAAGGAAGAATAGAAAAGTACCTCGTGGTGCAGAGATACGATCGATTGAGTGCAGAAAGTTAAGTGGTTGATCGAATATGATCATAAGAGAGAGTGACTGTTGTCTGTATTCACCTGTGTTGTTGCTGGAATTTCCAGAGCTTCGTGTAGATGTCGAAGGTGCGCCCAAAGTACCCTTGCCACTGCTTATGTCCGTATTGTGGCAAATCACGTAGCCCGTTGAATAGCTGCTTACTTTTCTCGAGCAGGTGACAGAACTCGAGGACGACTTTGCGCTCGTGGTCGTCCATACCAGCCATCATGACCATCTTTTCGGCGAGAGATCGCGGCCACTGGCTGGACAGCCCTTTTTCCACGGTCGCGGTGACCCGCGTGATGGCGCCTGCCGATTCCGCCACCCTTTTGCACGACAGCTACGCGCTGCGACCAATCAATACTATGCCCACCCCGCATCAGAGGGCGCACCTGGCGAGCCACCACCACCACCGCTACCAGTGATAACGATGCCATCTATGACACCCCTAAAATTGTATTTAACTCTCGTCATACGACTCTACTGATAAAACGTTTCACTGATCCGACCGTCGGTTTTCTGCCTTGTTCTGTCGATTATTGATACAAACTAGACATCATAGTTGGATTCATGATTGTTAGGCTGCTCGTAGATGGTACTGACTATTCTCTGATGATCGTATTATCTGTTAGAGCGCTTTTTCAAAGTCATTTTAAGAGTTATATATATTATTATCAATGTTCAACTTAAAAACTAGAGAAATATAATTACAAAATCTTAAGTTGTTAAGAGAATAAAAGACTGATAAAAAGAAAAAAGGATATATCTATTGCACAATATAGAAATTACCACTAGAAATACCACTTGAAATCTGGATAGTTGATTTTAATACAATATCAATATACCTCCTTTAACTTAGAGATTTCAATCTAAATGCAATAGCTTAAACTTTATCCAACAATTATTTTGTAACATTGGTTAAGAGACATTTAATGAAAGACAAGTGTTTCTTTCGGCGGTGTAATTAAAATTTCAGTCGATGACGATAGAGTGGGATAGGCGCGTGAAGTGGTAATGGGGAGGTAGAGCGTCGATGGTAGGAGAGCTCGTCGACACTTTCGTCGTCGAGGTTCGTTACGCTGCTCGCAGAAACGGTGGGAGTTTTGCCGCCCTGCTACCGCCGTCGGCGGAGATTAATTAACTAGATAACGGACGGTGGTTGCAAGAGAGAGAGAAAGAAAGAGAGAGAGAGAGAGAGAGAGAGAGAGAGAGAGGAGGATGGAGAATCTACGGACGAGGGATGTGGAAGAATCGAGAGAGTGTCATTGCGAGGTCGTTGCGAGGGACTGGTAGGAGCATAGCATGGAGCATGGAACACCCTCGCGAGGACGAGCCATAGGGCTTTCCTAGCCGGACGTTCGACTCCGGAGTATATCGACTGTGTCGCCTCATCTACAAGTCAATCAGGTTTGCGTGCTGGTCGCTCGTGAAGGTGGTTGGTACAAGTAAGTAAGTAGGTAGAGCTTGGTAGGTGCCTATTCTACGAGCACCATCGCTGTCGAGCGCCTTTATGCTAGCCAGGTATGCAAGTATAATGTGCTGGCGCATATATGAATGCTTATGGTAATCCGACCGGCAGGCTCGTTTCGACGTTGACCAGGATGCCTGCTACCTGAACGGACTCAACACACCCTCTACAGAGTACACCCTCTACACATCTTTAGTTAGTACATTGTAGTTGTATGTCGGACATCGTTTTCGACTTGATCAAGATCCTCCTAAACTTTGCTCTCTTGGGTCTTTTTCGCTTGAAAATTTCAATTCCAAAAGAAAAAGTAATCGTCTCGTTCCACTTGAAGTCTTTTCAATTGCTCTTTTTGCTACCATTCGATAGAGATAAAGGATATGATTAGAGGATATAAAGCGAAATTCGATAAACCGTGATTTCCTTCGTCTTCAAAAAGAAAACGAAAAAGGAGAGGTATCGATGGCGTGAGTCATCTTACCGTTGTCGATCGATAGGGTTAAGTTCTGTTCTGGTCGAAGTAACGTCTCGAACCCATAGTTCCAGTCCATGAACCGAACACAATGATAGCTAGCAGCCGGTCTGACCATGGACGGGCGATCATATCGGGTCGTTAACTGATATTAATAGCAGGGCGCGGTATATCTGCGCCTCCCTCTTTTTCTCTCTTTCTTCCCCTTCTCTGTTTCTTCGCTCCTTCACTTCATTCAACTTTTAGAGGGTACCCTGTCCTAATTGTTACAAATTAAATCACAAGATATCGAAGCAATCCCTCGAGTACGATACGCAACTTGCCGTCGTTATTTTCTCACGCCCAAAATTTCAAACTTTTCGATTGATTTTTCAAACTTTCATGTTATTCAAGTAACCAGATTGAGAAAAAACGTGGGTACATTGAAACCCACGTGAAATAGACTCGTAATACCAGGACAACGAGAGGGCATCTATTAGCCCGCGAATAAATTCTTTTTAATATGCCACACTAACCTGTTGAATGCGTTGCGTTCGTGACAAACGGTGATTACGTCTGCTTTTCTCTGCTTAGAATCGTCTTTTTCTAATGACAACGATCGTATCGCATTTGCAAATGCGACATTCAAAATAAAATCTGTGCGATTTTGATATTCCACAATAATAATTCTTTCACAAAAAGCTTTTCCTTTATATCTTTGTATAATTGGTTTCCTTATACAAGATTGCTAACGCTACTTACAAAGATCTCGGAAAAGATACTCTTGAATTCGAAGAGTGCGAAATGTTTGTTTTCTCAGTAGTGAAAGAAAGAAAAAAGGAAAGAAAGAAAGAAAGGGAAAGCGCAGAAAGTGTGCTCACGAAGACGAGGACTTTTGATATTTCCTGCTCCGACCATTAGCCAAGGTACGGGACAGAGAAGCGAGGTGAGGGTGGTTCTCAGGGTGGACGCGAGGAAAGCCTCAGGAAGTTCTAACTCACGGGCAAGGGGGCAAGCCACCCCTGTCAAGCTGTGCCAGCCCCTACCATTAACATTAACCGAGCATATACAGGGTGTTTGCAATGGCATTATCGATCGGCCTTGTGAAAAAAGACCAGCGAATCGAGCACTCTGTGCGAGCCGTGCAGGAAGCACCTAGTTTACATTCACGAAAGCTAGTTCTAAACGCCGATAGACTCATTTTCACGTCCTATCATTCGTGGAACGATCTTTTCACGGTATAAAAAGTATAGAAAATCATGATCATTTTCGAGAGACCATACTTCTCCTTTGATGATTATTCTTATTTGGTACGTGCCGAAGAATTGTATATTTATTCGTGCGTAACATACAGGATCGAACGTTACAACGACATCCCCTAACATCCCGTTTCCTTTGAAAATCCTGAATCCTACATCCGTTTGGACCTTTTCGGTCATGCGTAAAGTTTCCGATCGTCGTCGATGCAAGGAATATCCTGGGTCATTCAATAAATATCAAGGAAAATCTGCTAGAAACTATTCGTATGAGATCATTGCCAAAGGTGTCATTTTTATTTTTGTATATTTCTATGTTCAATATAATATTATAAAAAAAGAAAAAACTTGCTTTAGCTTGCTTTGAAATCTTCTTATCGTATACGAATTTTCGCAAGAGTATCGAATGTCAACACTACATCAAGTAATAATACTTTTGACACTTGTATCGTTTTCCTCGTGATTGCCGTAGAGAAGCACGTCGCGAATAGCGACGTCGATCACGCGTTGGTTAACGAAGATGACGATAACGATACATCGTGTTATCGCTCGGACGTATCGCGCGCGGTGGTGGTCTATCGTGGACCGTATCGCGCGAACGTATCGAGCGAATGTATCGCGTGGACGTGTACCCGCCCCATGGTTGGCAGTGCATCTATGAAAAGCGTAGACCGGGCACGTGTCGCTCGTGTCGCGCCCTCCTTGTTACTGCAATGCGTGGATCTGATAATTTTCGTATGGCCGAATATACGTATCTATATCGTTCGTTCGCTTCTCTACTGAGATTTATCTACGTGACCTTGTATTGAGAGATTACGAAAAAAGATAAGATCGAGATTTATTAATCGAATCATAAGCTTATCATGAATAATATTAATTAGCGAATTTCTTTTTAAAGAAATTTGTCTTTATTTTGAAGGAAAATGTTAAGAGAGAAAAAAATTTTTATATCCACATCGTATACCAAAGGTTAGGCCAAAGGTTGAGAGAAAAAGAGAGAAAAGCTCTCTTTCTCTCTCGATGTTACCCCTATCGAGAGAAAAGGGAGGTGGATGATCCCGCCTCTAAGGAGCTGTATCGGAGTTGGCCAAAGGGTGGGAGACTACGTGCGCAGGGTTAGAGGGGTAAAGAAGGGTTTCGCAAGTCCTCCCCTCTGTATGTGATATCCCTCCGGGGAACGGACGAGAGGGCGTCCCGGCGCAGGCTCCGATACAGCCAATCGTCGGACCGCGAGTGATAACGACGCTGCCGAATGCGTGCGTCCGCGTCTCTGGCCAAGTCCACCACCGGTGGTCCACACGGTTCTCCGCAAGGCATTCCGCACGTTCCGTTGTCTCTTATACGATACCGAGTTGCCTCGTGTTTTCCTTGTCCGTCCATGCACGCGAGAAATGAACTCGTGCGATACTGTTTGCGAAAATAGGTGTGTTAAACATGTTGAAAAGCACGTTCCTTCCTTTTAACACGATCGCTGTGTCTAAACTCCTTCTCTTGATGTCTATCTGATTTTTTCCTTCGATCGATCTCGCGTGCTTACCTTTTCGTCTTGGACTTGGAGAAAACGTTGCTCTTTCAAGCTCATGTTGTTGTGTCCGCGATCAGTGTTCGTGATTCTGAAAGACGATAAAGTTTACTTCTCGCGAGTTTGGCATACTTTCTACATCGTTTCTTGACTTTCGGAAGTGTTCGCGGACGTTTGTCCATCCTTTGAAAAGAGCTGGATTCGACAGTGCTGGATAAGATAACGCGCGGAACCCCGCATTGACGGTGAGATTCTCTTTTCTTTTTCTTCTTCTTTTTTTTTTTTTGAAAGAAATCGTCATATTGTGAAAATAGTTTGCTCTCTCTTTCACTCTCTCTCTCTCTCTTTCTCTCTCGTTCTCTCTCTCTTTCTCTCTCGTTCTCTCTCTCTTTTTCTGATTTAGATACGTTCGCTACTGCCGGAAAGGTCTAATTGAATCAGAGCACAGGAAACGCGACTACGAGAGCGCGGTTTCTCTTAGCGTGCCAATGAAAGAAACGTATGTCGTTATCGCTTTGACTAATAATAAGATATCTCTGTGGAATGATTAGCGACCGCCCTCTCTTTTTATTTGCACTGTATTACATTATCGCGATTTTCCGTTTGAAATGACGACGACGGTATGAAATACGCGTATGTGGTATACTTGGATCTGATAGTGTTTCATCTCACTTATCTTGTCGTTTGATATT